TTGAGTATTAGGGTAACTTTAATTTTAATTAAAAATATATTAAAATTATCTAAGAAATTGCTTCTAGGTTTTATTTCTTTTAATAATTATGAGAGATTTGCTATATCTTTTTACAAATTCTTTTGACCATTTTTACAAAAAATAAATAACTAATTATCAAAATAAACAAAAAATAATTACATGTCATAAATTTATTCTATATTATAGAAATACGTAGCATATTAAATGGTCAAATAGGTGACTAATGTTTTAAATAACTAAATATATTTTCTTACTTGTGTAATAAGTAAATATTTCATTAACATAAATTACACAATAATAAAGACAAAAAGAATTTAGTTATTAATGTAAATAGAACTTGGTTTTTATTTCTTCTAATTAAGATAAAACAAAATCACTACTAATTACTCCTTTTGAATTTTTTTATAAAATATAAACAACTAGTTTATCAAGACCATTAGACCAACCCAAAGTAGTAATAACTTATATGTCATTAATTTATAATATAATTAAAAAATACTTGTAATATAAATAGTCAAATGGATGATTTATATTCAATGAATATATCCAAGTACATAAATAATGGAAGAACGCTTTATTAACACAAATTTTTTAATAAAGATATAAAAAGAATTTAATAATTAATGTATTTAAAAAAAAATTTTGTCTTCTTATAAAATATATTAGGGGAATTATTTCTTATAAGAGTTTTGTTAACTATATAAAAGTGTGATAAATGTATTTTTTAAATAAAATATTATCACAGGATTGATGTTAATCAAGATCAATACTTTTATTATATAAACAGTATGTGCATTTATTATCTTTGAAAACATAAAAAAAAATTCAATATTTCCTTCCATTATTTTTGTTGACATAAACTCTTAAAATTGATTTTCAGTATTAAAAAAATTGTTGATAAAGTTAGTATTTACTATATCTTTATGTAATAAATATTTTTAATAAAATTTTACAACTTTTAAATTATAAAATTAATTGTAAAGGCTGATATTAACATTTTAAAAAATTTTATAATTCTTGGCAACCCCACTCTTCATTTACATAAAAGATCCCCTCCCCCTCTCTTCCTCTTAATTAGCTCTCAACTCTAATCTGAATCTGAATTCTGATGCCAAACACATAGAATTAACTCCCTATCTAAACCCACCGTCAGATAAATCACATTGTCACATAAATAACAAATTATTGTCATATATATTGACATAATCTTCAATTCATTGACGCGAATTAAAAATGTTATTAGCCCCATCATTACTTTTCTATGCTTCGTTATCTCACATCAAAACTAGAGAAAAAGATTAATAAAAGAATATGTTCTTAAAAGTAGTAGGGACCATCCATTCACATATCCATCAATATTAACAAGCTAAGTAGCAAGTATTGCTCTTCTATGCAAAGTCAACTGCAGGTACTGCAAGAGTTGCATGTTGATGAAATCAACTTGCAATTGAATCTGTTCGTTTTGACATTCATCCTCCTTGAACCCCTTATCAATCTTTTATACACGATTATTATGTTTTCTCAAGTACTATACACACATTTCATTTTCTAAAGGGGTCAATCTTCACTGTAATTAATATATTAACTTTTAATTTTAGTTTGATGCTAAATAATAAATTGTACGTATCTTTTAGTTTAAAAATAACTTAAAATTGGGACTACAATAATTAATATATGATCATAAATATTTTTTATTTATGAATAATATACAATATTTTTAATTTATTATATTTGTATGGCGTGCTTGTAATAACATACAGCTAGTGAAGGCAAATGGCGCAGATATTAGAGGTAGAATGTCCACAAGTTCAAAGAATATGGTTTGCTTCCTCCCTTTATGTAAAGAGAACTGTTGAAGATCATTTTCCATTTTTTCTCCTTTCTTTGAGTGGCTGAAAACTTTGATCTCCAATATAGTTGGATAGGTCAAATCTCACATGAGCTTTTATGTATTTTGACCATGTTTAAATGTGTGAGAATCAAAACACCCTTTGTTCATGTTTTAGAAAAAGGATAAAATATATATTTAGTTCAATTCTTATGTCGTACGATTTTAATTTTGTTTTTATAAATATTTCTTTTAATTTAGTCTTTATATATGTAAAACATTTTTAAATAGTTAATGATAAAACTTAATAGAAATATTCATATAACAAATTAAAGGTCGATTTGGTATATTAATTGTAAATTAATCTAATGTTAGAGATCAGATATTAAAGGTTAATGGAAGTTGAAAACAAACAAAAAAGAGGATGATAACTTTTGAATTTCGTGGATGGGAATGAATTTGAATATAGATTTTAATAATTACCCTTTTCAGAGTTATGTGATAATTTTTGGAGTGTGACATGTTAATATGACATTTAATGTGTCAGGTTTAATACTCAGTTTATAACACGAAAAATATACATTTAATATGACATGTTACAAGAAAAGTAATTTTGTTACAACTAATGTTAGCAATAGGTAAGGAGTAACATGAGAAAGTTGGATTTTTTTATACAAGTTGAAAACTACGGTGAAAAAGACTTGCAAAATTAAAGACTTGATCAGTGGTTTACTCTCTTGAAATTTTTTGCACAATTAGAGACTAACTTAAAAATTATTTTACATGTAAAAATCCAATTAAAATTACATAACACAAAAATTAAATTAAAATTACGTAAAAAGTATAAAAACTAAACATATTTTAACCTTGGACAAAATGTCAATGCTTTGGAGTTGGTGGTTAGAAGTCTAAATAAAAGGATCTTGAAACAAAAAGGAAGAAATCAGTGAATTTATCTACCATAATATTTTTGTATCATTTAAAAAAATTATTTAATATTATAAAATTTTAAAACACTAAATAAGCAGTTTAGGACACTTTTAGATAAGTTGTTTAGTTATACACTAATAAGAGCTTGATATACAATAATTTATTTATAAAATTTTGTTAATTTTAGATAAGTAGCTAATAGTAGTAATACATTTTAATTAAAATATAGTATTTACTGTACATTTATAACTTTAATATAATAAATGTATATTTTGTCGGCGCTTAAAGATTAAAATTAACAAAACTCTTATTTATGAATGTGTCTTTAAAATTTATTAAAATCAATTAAAAAAACTTATGAAAATTATTCCAAGTTACTTTTATACAGTTACGCAAATTCTATAAAAACAATTCAAATGTGACATTTTAGAGTGAGTTAATATTGTCTGGATTTGCGAAGCTATTTTCAAGCTTATGCTGATTCAGTGGAGTGATCGACTCCATCTTGTGCCTCGACAAGCAAATTCTCGTCCCTGACGACCTCAAGTTATGAAATGACACCCTGCTGCTTTTTGCCACTTCCTTTTACTTTGGTTTATGTTATTTTTAATTTGATTTCATTACACTTTCAATTCCTTTATTTTTGTGTGATTTTAAGTTCACTAGTTGTAATTACTCATTTAATTCTTATAATTTTTCAACTATTCAACTTAAATCTTTAACTCAAATTTCATCAAATAATTAAAAAAAATATATGAAGTATGCTATATCAATGATTTGCAAAAATAGAATATATGAAATATTTAAGAAAAAGATGTTGGCTTTCGTTATATTTTATTTAAATATTTTACATTTTTTTCTTTATATTATACAAATTAATAATACCAGAAACCTTTGTACATCCACACTTCTACTAATTAAACCTTCCAGAATTTTTTTTATGTAACCAACCCTCTCCGGCCACCAAAAAAGAATCAATTATTATGCGTCTGTTCATCTTAAGTTTGGATTACCGAACCAAAATCAGTGGTAATCATATGAAAACTTGGAATTCAGAATGAAATGGTCCAAAGATTTGAGTAAATCTCCTGCATTTAATTTGAGTGTCAGTTCCACACCTCGGGGCACACTGCACTCCGAGAGAGAGAGAGAGCGAGAAATATTAGAAGTTGAAATGTCCTTTTGATCCTCACCATGACCATAGTTGTTATTTAATGATTTCGTTGATTTGATGAGCTGCAAGATTGATGTGCAAAAATATGGAAAGTTATAAGACAGACAGATGAAAAGTGAGCGCACAATTAGATATGTACCACAATCATCAACTATAACAAAACCATAATATCTGCTCCATGGGGAGCATTGCACTATGGTGGTTCTGCAGCAGGAACATGTTCATAATATCATATAGTTACTATTGAATGCCACTATTTCTGACTCTCGTCCCACTAGAACCTCCCTCCCACATAATTTTCCTTCTACCTAGCAGCAGGTACCTGCTATTCATTGCTGCAAACATCAAAGACACGTTCTTCCTTCATTAGACCATCGGTTATTAACCTGGCAAGACTCCACAAGAGAAAACCTTTGATCCCATTGCCAGAAGAAGACCCACAACAGCACATCGTATGAGAGGTGTCACAAGTGTTTCTTTGCATTATATGATTGATTACGTAAAGCGAAAATATGTTATTCCTTTGGAAAGCATCCGTCCTGTTAATGGAACTTATTTATTATACCTCTATCACCTCCAATCAAATTTATCCACCACGTTAAAATTTCAAAATCTGTCAATCCAAACATAGACAAAGCACAACAAAAATGCACTTAAATTTCCGCAGCATCAATAAATTGCAAGACACTCGCACCTGATGACATACCTATTCACCTACCATAATAATCTTATCAGCAACTACCAAATTTTTGCCACTTTAGGCACCTCCGTCATTATTTATATCTTAAGACAAACAAGAACAGTTGCAATACTGTATGCTCTGAATCATCTCTGCTCTGCCTAACAATATCATTCACTGATTAATACTACAAATAGACTCTGCTTACGAAAGAGAAGAGAATGCAACTTATTTTCGTGTTACAGAACATCCATCCATCCACTCAAAATCAATAAGCCTTCCGAGGCAGCCCTAAAGAACAGTAACTAAACATTCAAAGCATCCATTAAATAGGATAACCATAGCATAAAACACACCAAACTGCAGCGGTATCCACAAAACATAAGCTAAAAAAATAGAGTAAAAGTAACTAATTTAACCAAAAAATATGTTCCAAATGATGCGTCGAATGAACAGAAAAAGGCCTTTATTAATTACCCATGTATGATGATAACTCATGAAGAATCATAGCACATCTACAAATACAAAGAGGCCAATAGAGCCAGAGACTACCCACATAATAAAAACTATAAAGATTCATCTTTCATCACCCAACGTATAGAATGGAGAAATGAAACAGCACTTCCCTTATGTTATAAGCAAAAAGCTTTCCAAATTCCTTATAAGATGTTTTCCCCTTTCTCACGATTAGTCCTTCTGCGTTGTCAACAACACACCTAGAATTACACGAGGAAACTCAACAAAGAACTACTCCAACAAAATTAGCAGTTACATGATGTGAGGACCAACCTAACCATTCCAGAAGGCTAACAAGTTATGTGAGAACATGCTCTACAACTCAGCGTTCAGACATGCTTCTTAATTTGCAATGGCTGAGAATTCTCCCATGCTACAACACGCAAATAGAAAGATCAAAAAAAAAAAAAAAAGGCAAATCTCAGGAGAACCCTTTCCCAAGCTTCTGAATTGCACAATACATTTTCCTTCTAGACCCAACAGCATTGATCCCCATATCTTTAAGATCCTCTAGAGTTAACAAAGGCAAAACCTCATCATCAACCTCGTGAATTTCAAAAACAGGAGCATAACGACCTAACCCTAATCCATTAAGCCAAATCCTAACCCCATCTTCTCCTCTTCCACCATTCCCATTCCTATCATGATAATGCTGCACATCTCTATCATTCCCATGCCCGTGTCCATCAACTCCCAAATTCTCCATCGAATGAAAAGGGCTCTGCTCCTTCAGAGGGCTTTCCGAGGCTTCGACGTCGAAATCACGATGGTACCCGTCGTCGACATCTTCGCCGTCGATTCTCGAAATCCAATTCGATCTAACCCTCTTCGAACCCCTTTTCTTCGAATCCTTCACTTTCCAACTACCAATCACGACGCTGTCCATGTTCCCGTCGCTCTCTAGGGTTTCGCCGAACTCGGCGGCGGAGGTTAAGTTCGTTAAAGGACGAGTCTTCGAGGGTTTACCTGCGGCGTCCTTGCGGTTGTGGTCGAAGGCGAGCCGCCACGGCTTCGCGGTGGTCCGGCGAGGGTGGGAGTCGTAGGGCTGGTCTCCGATGTCGCCCAATCGGACACTAGGTCTTCGCTGGCGCTTCGATCCGAGGGTTTCGGAGGAGTTTGGCGCCGCCGTTCCTCCGCCGTTCATCTGGCCCTCCGGCGGCGGAACGTCTGCCATTTGGTTACTTCTCCGTCTAAACGCAGAGGTAATTGTCGTTTTGTGCTTGTTTGGATGATTTTGAAGAGTGGAGATTAGAGAGAATGAGAAGAGTGTAGTGTGAAGGGAGTGAAAGACGCGATAGGACTCCGCAGTGTTTATGTGTTCGTGTTAGAACGAACTTACAAGTGAAGGGATAATAATAATAATAATAATAATAATAATAATAATGATGATGATGATGATTAAGACAAAATAATTCATATCAAGGTTTTTGGTTATGCTATTTTCATTCTTTTGTTTTCACAATCACAAATCAATTCTACTTTGTGACCTTACTCCTATATTCCTTACAATTTATGACCTAAACCACACTACCAACTTGTCTAATTTTTTAAAAAATTTAAAATTTTAATTGTGTCTAAATTAATTATGATAAACAAAATAATTGAACTAATTAATTATATTTAAAAATAATTATTGTGATAATTAACTATATGAATTTTTTAGTTGAATATGTTATATGAAAAGTAATTTTAAATAATTTTTATTTAAATTGTATAGAATTATTACCTTTTTAGGATAAAATTATAAGAAAAATATAAATTATGCATAATAGTAATTTTTTTGTTTAAAACAAATAATTATTAAGAATAAAATAAAAATAAAAATAAAAATTTCCTAAAAATTAAACCGATAACCGTTAATCATAAGTTCTGAAATTTTACTTGTTTAATATTTTTTTCATAAAAAAAAATATAATCAAAGCTTATAAATTAAAATTTTGAAATTTTTCACAAAAATAGAGCTTTTTTCTTAAAAAAATAAATTTATATATAGAGAGAGCAAAGGGAAAAAGAATAAAATCCTTGTAATTTTTAATATTTAATATTAAAAAGAAAAAATAATAAAAAATAGTCATTATAAATGACATTTTTACTTATTATTGTTATTTTTTTATTCGTATACATTTTTAAAAATTGATGAAAAATAATTTTTTTTCTCGCTAAATATTTATATTTTTTCTACTTTTAAAAAAAATCTCACTCAAAAGTTAACATTATTAAACAGTATTTTTTTTAAAAAATTGCTATTTTTCTCCTTAAAAATTAACATTACACCTTTTTAAATATATATTAAATATTTTTTTTGAAAAAAATCTCTTCTTATTATGCATACGAATGAAACAATTGTAATTTTTTTTAATATTTCATTCAATTTCACAGCACGTTAATTTAAAATAAATTTACACACTATAATTGATCCTATATTTTTAATATTTTGTACAGGTAAACTAATAGTTTGTAATTTTAAAATGAAATTTATTAAAAAATAATTTTTTGCTTAGTGTAATTATTGATAATTTTATAAAAATAAATTAAACTAAGACTATTAAAAAAAAGCAAATTATAATTATAATAAAAAGAAAAAATATTATCATAAGGCATAACAACTAAATCAATACCAAAAATTAATATAAACATGTATTTATAAGAATTAGTAGTTAAACTAATACCTAAAGCATATACAGTACTTAAATTAAAACTTTAAGTATATAATCAACTTATAACTAATGCTAATTACATAAAATGTCATATAACTAATGTATAATTTTTTTTAAAAATTTATCACTTTAAATTCATTAACACTAAATATGACTTTATTTACGATCATTTGATCATAAATTATCACACTTTTTTATTAATTGATAACTCATAGTTAAACTTACAATAATAATAATAAAAATACTTAAGTTAAATAATAAAAATAAAAATAAAGTTATAACAAAATGTTACATGTCATGTATAAATAGTATTAATTAGTATGTTAGAACAATAATTTTAAAACATATATTTAATCATATACTAGTATCATTTGCAGAAAATAAAAAGTTTAAAAGTTCAAAGTTCATATAAATAAATTAGTTGATTATATATAAAATTAGAAGAAGAAAAAGAAAAAAAATAAAGTACTTTAAAAAATAAATTTGATTAAATATCATTTTTATTAATAAATATTTTTATTTATCTTTTGAAGATTCAAGTTGTTCTTTTAACATTTTAAGATTAGTAAGAAGATATAAGTATGAATAATTAAATATTTGATTTTTAATTTATAAATTTTTAATTTTATTTTACAAAATTAGATATTACTTTTGAGCTTTGTTATAAACTATTGTGCTCTCTCTAAAAATTACATTACTATTTTTAAAAGAATTAACAATTTTTTTGTGGTTTCACTTTTATCCATTCAAGTTCAATTTTATCCTTAGAAATTTTTATCATTTAACCTTGATCTCTTATTAAGTAAAGTACATTTCAAAAAAATTAACTTCTTAGTTATTATTTACCTCTTGCACTTCTCTAATGTCACCTCGTTGGTTTCTAAAGAGTGTGATTCCTTAAAGAGATACCTTTTGTTTCTTATATCATGTGCATTCTTAGCTTGCTTTTCAATTATCTTGTACTCTCCACACATAATCACTATATTACCATAATTTGAAAAAGATTTTTTCATCCATTATTTTGTTTTCAAGCGTATTTTATAAAATAAGTTATTAAAAAAAATTATAAGAATAAGTTAAAATCAAGAAGTTTAAGTTTTGTAACATAACTTCATTGGTTTTTGGTAAACTTTTGTTAAGTGTTTAATTTGTATAAATTTTAGTCAGTATTTAGACACTTAAAACTTAATTTAAATAAAAATTTTATTTTTAACCCCTTTATCTTTAAGAAAATCAAAATGATATGTAATTATAGTATTTTGTTGAGAGTTGTTGACTTTTAAAACTAATTTTCTTCTATTTTGACCTTGCAGGTCTTAGAAAGTTTTTGGAAGATTTGAAATCTATCAACCGCTCAGCCTTTGGGGAAGTACTGAGTGGATTGGAGCCCGAGAGCAAGGTTTGGAAGCATGTCCCAACTATTTAGCCGTTGTACAGGCTTTGAGCGGATTAGGTTCAAAGAGGATGAGAGGTCTCAGTCTTCAAAGCGCCTAGCGCTTCTACAAGAGACCAACGGTTTAGGTTTCTTAATTATAAAGAATTCTCCCAACTGTTCAATCATTTCCCAAGAGTTGAGCAGTTCACTTTCTTTCCAGCTACGTTGTTTTAATTTTTGAGACGGTATAAAAAGGAAAGAATAGAAAAACAGAGGCAACAAACATAAAAATAGAAAATAGAGGAAGAATAGAAGACCACAGAGCTAGGGATTCAACTTGAGAACAGGGAGATTCATCATTTTATGTTCTACTCCATTCTTTCTTGTATTTTGAGATTGACACTCATCACCATGAGTAGCTAAATCACTTTTCTGTTGAAATTAAATGTAATCTGTCAAACTATCTTGTATTTCTTTTTTGTTATATTTATGATATTTATTATTCAATGTTAGTGATTGTAATTTTTCTCTTAATGCTTTAGATAAACTGATCACTCGTTTTTAGATTTTTTGTCTTTGATTTTGATTGGAAAATACTTTTTAACTCCGATTTGAATCATATCACCTAATAGCTCTAAATGCTTGAAATGGGTTTGGAGTTATTAGTTGGTTAATGTAAGGATCATGATTTGATAAACTGAGGAATCGTTGTTGGATTATAATCCTTAATAACTAAATGCAAGGAATTGATTTAGAGTAGCTTAAGAGAACTTAATAGTATTGATTAATAAAATCATATTTATATAACATTAGGGATCAATTGAGCTAGATAGAAGAAATTTAATCTCAACAGTTTCTCTCTTATTATTTCCTAATTTTATTTACACTGTTTAACTTTAATCAATTTAAGTTTCAAATCAATAAATATCAAAATGTGCATAGATAATGTATATAGTTCTTTTTTCAAGCCTTAAATAGGATATTAGAACCTACTATTATCTTACAAGTCAACGTGGTTTGACAACCCTTATTCATCCTTACTACAACAGACTTGGTCTGTTTCGCACACATAAAAAAATTGCTTAATAACTTTCAATTCACCAAACTATTACTTTTTGGTCAGAATATTTGTTAAATTCCTTTTTAGTAACTTTCAATGACCTTTCACTTTATCTTTTTAAAAGATCTATTAAGTTTCTCTTGTAATTCCATTAGAGTCATAAGCTTTTAATTGTAAATTTATCACATAATTTATTTCTTTCATTTTATTGATGATGAGAACATTATTTCTTTTTAAAGTGCACATATCTCTTTTACATGTAAACATAGTTATTAAATGAAAGGTCTTAATTCAATCTAAAATAATAAATGCATTATAAACAAACATGTATATGTTAATTAAGATCACAAAATACATCAAGCTACAAAATATATTAATCAAGTACAAGCTAAGAAATGCAATATATTTACATAGTATTCTATAGAATCTCTTAGATTCTCTTCAAAATAAGTATACTCTTCATTTGTATCATCTCCTAAAACGTGGTCACTATAAGGTACACTTTTATTGTCAATTTCTTCATTAACTTAGCAATTAACTCTTCATCAAGGTTTACTACCATCAAATAACATTGAGTCTTGATTCTATAAGTTAGTTATATTTCACTAATAATAATACAAAATCTTTTTTTTTTTTAAAGTTCAAAAGCTCTTTCAATAACATTTTACATTAATGAATGTCAATGATTGAATAATTCTTGAAGGGTTTGAGATAAATTTTTAGTGGTGAATTCATTCAAATGATAATGAATTTTTCTAAATGGTGTAATTAATTCATTTCTCAACATAAATTCTGTGTTAAGAATATAATATTTATATGTGAAAAATATGATTACTATAATATATACATATATTAAGAAAATAAAAAAAAAATTTAAACACCTCAATATTTTTAGATAATTTGTTTTGCAAAGTGAACCTTTTAATATTCTAAAATTAGATATAGTGTCCTACTATATGATCAAAGTATAAGTAAATCTTAGATTATATGAACATGCAACTCGAACATTTTATTTTGAAAACTACTTCCTCCTACTATATGTTACAATTTCAACTTATGACACTTTTATATAAATATGTGTATATTCAATTACTCCAATATAATCTTAACATTACCATTTTGTTATCATTATGTTTCCAATCACACATAATTTAAATTTATAATATGAAATTACTTTCCAGATTTTTCATAGGAATATGTAGCTTATCTTATTGTTTAAG